GCAGACCATGGCATCTCCTCAGCACCGTGCTGGGCTGGGTGCAGCGTGCTGCCCTGCAGACCGCAGCACTGCGGCTCCTTACACAGCCTCCTCTCTCAGAGCAGCAGCTCCTACCACAGCCAGAACGGGAGCCCACCAGTGGGCTTGAGCACTGGCAGCCACTATGGTGCTTGGTGGCCCCAGCTCCATGCAGGAGATAAGATAGATAGATGATAGAGAGATAGTTCTCTTTGTAAAGAAGGGGCAAGCAATGAAGGTGAGACTGAAGGAATGTCCTAGGTCTGGAAACCAAACATGCTGTGAGATTTAATTGCTACGTTCTCTGCTGTGTAAGTGCTGAAAGAGTTCTTACTGCGCTATCACAGTGCTTTCTCCGAGGTCTCTCAAAGCAAACAGGGAGAATACGCAAGATACTTAGTTTGCACAAGTAATTTACAACTCATGTTTCTTTTTGAGATGCTATTTAACAAGTTAATTGCTTATCAATTATTATTACTACAGCATAGCTGCTTCATCCGAGAGTGTCCACTAGAGGCTGGGAAGCAGCTAGCTGAATAGTCACCCTGCTCTGAAGGATGGGATGTACAGTGGACGCCAAGTTGAACATGGGGCAGGGGACGTTCTTGCTGCAAACAAGGCAAACCACAGCCTGGGCTCCATCAGGAAGTACAGGTGCAACAAATCAAGGGATGCACTTGTCCCTGGTATGTGGCACGGCTGAGGGAGCGTGTCCAACGTTGTGGTCCTGATTTGAGCCTCTCGGTCAACAGGGATGTTGAAAAACCATAGAGGCTCCAGTGGAGGGCTCCTGAGGTGTTCAGGGAGCTCAAGCACACGACCCACTGGAAAACAGCTGGAAGGACTGGACTGGATCTGAGGAGAGCAGGCTGCAGGGTCACCTAATAATGGCCTAATGTTACCTCAGGACAGTTATGAAGATGGAGCAAACACATCTCGATAGCTCCAGCTGATGCAGCAGGGGCAACGGCCACAAACTATCTTGGGAGCTTGGGGCCAGAGAGCAGGACACACTGTGTTACAGCGAGGGCAGGGCAGCACTGGAATAGGTGCCCAGAGGGCCACTGAGGCTTTCAGGCTTCAGCTAGCCACATGCCCTGAGTGCTAGCACCAGTCCTGCTGTGAACAGGAGGGGCTGCATCTCCAGAGGGCCTCACAAACACCATTGCTGTGATTCTGAGCCCTGCTGAGAGACGGAGCATCTGTAAAACCGCAGCAGAGGCAGCACAGTGCGGTGTGGGGATCAGGCACACAGAACACCCCGTCTTGCTGTCAGTAATTCACACCCCCGCTGCAGCGCTCCCATGCGGGGCTGAGCCCCCACAGCACCCCAGGCGCTCTGACAGCGGCGGGGAGCACGAAGCAGAGGAGACACAGTGAGCACAATGCGGAGGTGCCAGGCTCTGGGGACGTACCTCTGCTCCCTGCACACCGTGCTGCATGGGGGCTCGCCTCTGCTAGCTCTCCTATTTCCAAATCCTGTTTCTCAGCACCGTGGGAGCAAACCCAAGTGTTGTTTCTTTCAGAAAAAAGCAATATTGCAGTAAATCCCTCCACTGGGGCTTGCTCATTTCCTCTCCCCCCTCTCTTGCTACCTGCTTAGTACAAAAAACAAAGGCCCTTTCATAATACAGGGTCTTCTCTTACCTAACTTGCTCAACAGCTCCACAAAGCTGAAAGTCCAGCAGGAGCTGAACACAGCTGCAGCCTGCATCTAAGTCTGTTACGTGGAGACTCAAGAGGAGAATCCAGCCTTCTGTGTGTCTCTCGCTGTGTAAACAACCACTGGTATTTTAAGCATGCATTTACGTCCAGAGAGATCTTCAGTGCTATTCTGGGCCTTTTTATTTTGCAACTGTTGGAGGCATCAGCACCGTGCCAGAGCTCGTGCTCCACCAGTGCTCCTCCCCAGCACGCATCTCCCCTCTACAGCAAACAAGTTTCTCATAGAACCAGATTTCTCCAGAGCACAGAGCGGCAGCAGCTTTAACAAAGGTGAATGGAAGATGAACGGAGGCCACATGCAGACCGCAAACCACGCACTTGCATTTTTATGCCACACCAGTTGTCAGAGGTGTCCTAGCAGCCGCTTGGCCCTGGCTAAGGGAGAATTAATGCTGACAGGAACGAGTACCCTTTACAGTGCTTGCATGCTAACCAGGCAGCAGATCCCAGAATCATCAGTGTGAACTGCATCTGCTTCCAACCACTGTCATAAACAGTGTTTGAGCATGAAAAGGTTAGGGGGAAAACCTGTTCAAGCTGTCTTACCCAGTTTTGATTTCAGTAACCTCTATGACCATATTTCTCTGCAGTAACCAGAAAAGTGAACAAAAACCTTGCTCTGAAGTAACCCTTGTGTATCAGGTCACCTGTGTAATTACTAGTTTTTTTACATTTTCCTGTTTCTCTTTTGACGTTGACAACAAATGTGTTAAGCATTTAGCATCATTTGAAGTTACAGCCAAGTTTACACAGCAACTGACTCATTGCTGAATCCTCCTGCTGCTCTCAGTGCTCTGGCAGAGACAGACTGAAGCAAGAGCCACATCCAGGTTAGTTAGTGGCCAAGTCCTGATTTCAGCCCCTTCCCTGCAACACTGGAGGAGGCAGCTCGTGCCTCCAAGCAAGGGGAAAGGCTGCACACACTGATGGTGAACCTGCTGTAACACCAAGGTGAGGCCTTCTGCTCCCCTCAACCTATGCAGGGCGGCTGTGCTGGGGCTGAGGCACTGCTCTACCTGCACCACGGCCCGTTTGTTAACATCAGTCACAAAGCTGCTGCTCTCAATTTCCGCTTTCCTCTCAGCAGCTTTTTCTGACATCCTGGTGCTCTCTCCATCCTCCACAGCGCTTCTGGCTAGATGGCTCCAGCTGTACTTACTCCCACCTTACTAGCTCGTAACTACAGTACATGCACACTTCTTCACTGTGGAGAGTCCAGCCCCCGGCAGTTGGACATCTGCAGAAGCACTGAAGTACCTCCCATCTCTCTGTAACGCAGCTGGATTTCTTGTGGCTTAGCTTGTGGTTGGACTTTTAGAAAGCACTGACCTAGTTTTCCAAATGACCATGAACAAGGAAACCTCCAAATCCTAAGATTTCATCACCTATTTCTATTAAAAACATTGCTCAAGAGCAGTGTAAAGGTTTAAAAACTCAAACTAGTGGCTTGCACCACAAAGCAGTTTTCCTGTGCACTGACAGCACATGGCATGGGTAGAGCAGGGGTTGGGGTTTTATTCATTGCACCATCAGAGAAATTGGGCAGGATCTCTACAAGTAATGCAGACTCACTCTAAACCTTCAGTAAAAGCAAGCCGTTTGTACTGCACAAAAAAGAGGAGTAAGCCCCACTAAACACAAACCCAAACCCCATGTTGTACATCACGAGTGCCCACCCCACCCCTGCCGGCAATACAGGCACTTTTCCTCATGTCAGCAAGTCCTCATAAGCTGTGGGAAGTTACCCGACACACAGCTCAGCCCTCTCCTGTTGGTCATGTACAGCTGCGCACTCCTCACCTTGTTGTAGCCATTAACTAAGCTTGCTATCACCTCTTTAGTCACAAACTGCAAATGTATAGAAGTGTTTTTCCTAGGTAATGGCTTTTCTGTCCAAGTCATCCACACACATCACCATAAATCCCTTCCCTAGGAATGATACGAAGACACACTGATGGGGAGATCCCTCCCAGGCAAAGATCCAGCCTCATGCAAGGGCTGGCTTCTGCTCCACCACATGAGGGATGGGGAGGCTTTTAGACTCATAAAGTTAGCACATAGTGCTGAGCTTATCAAACCCACCTCTTTCATTCAGGAGTATCTTAGTACAAACAGATACTCCTCTCCCAAGCGTACTTCCTCTCATGTGTGGCTTTTTTCTTTTACACACCATGTAGAATTGAAAACAAAACATCCCAGACTTTTGAATTAAAATACAAGCTTTACAACCACATAGCAAGTGTATGCTCTTATATTTCAGTTAAAGACTATATAATTTTATAGAGTACCAAAATAAGCAAAGGATCAGCACTCCATACAAAGTGTTAGTTCTTGTGAGGGTAGAAGGGAGATGGACTTTTAATTACACTAAACTTCTTTTGCAAGGCTAAAGAAAATTCCATTTCAGCAAAACAGGTTTGGGTTTCAATTCCCAACATTTCTAGGTCATTAAATAGCGTTTCTTTAAAGACACTTTACATTGTTCTCACTCAAAGTAAAGGGATGATTTAAAGCAGTATTAACAAGGAGGTGGTGCTGTTACTGTTTAATGTCAATATGCAAATGCCATCTGCTATAAAAGCTAGAAGAGCAACACAAGTGCATCTTTACTTCTGAAGACTACTAGGAACGGACTAACATTTGAGAGAGGTTTCGAGCAGGCTACACCGGCTCTGGGCCCGGGCTGCTGCTGGGTCAGCCTCTGCAAGGCAAACCCCAGGTGCTGGCAGCGACACGTGTTCACACATATACCCAGAATCCAACTCAGGACGGATATGCCTCTCCCCACCTTACAGCATTAGAATGCAAGAAAGCTGCAGCCAGCACTGCCACTGCAAGTTTACAAAAGCGGAAATCTCAACAAAATAGCGTTCAAACCAAATGGAAGCTCTCTGTTCAATTCCAGGACTCCTTCCCCAGGACACATCTCCTGTCCTGCCCCCCCTGTCCCACTTCTCCCCCTGCTCCTTCCCTACAGTCTATTTTACAATAAATAGGTTAAATGGATTTACATGATGCAAGTGCAACTCAAAGACTTTTGCCCTATACATATAACCATGTTAAACTGTGAGATTATACATGTGATAGATCTCTAACAGAGCAACCACCATTTAGACTTTTAAAGAAACACAAGTATTTCAGCATGTACACAGTAATGAGTTCAAAACTGTCCAACATAATCGCTTTTGTACATTCTCTTCCTCTTTATAGCCTTAAAGGGATTTTAGACCTTGATGGCGACAATCCCAAAACAAGAGTAAAATGAATTTATTTTATTGCAAACAAACGTCTAGAGTTAAATTTCTCCACCCACTTTCTTTAAAGAGAAAAGGAATCAGCAGGCTAAGGAGATACACCCATTTGAGAATTGACATGATTAAAAATTAGATAGAAAATGGGTGACTCACAGTTTCATTAGCTTACAAAATGGTGGAGTAACTACTACAAGCACACTAGGTATACAGTATTTTGTGGGGAAAGAGTTATACAGACACACAGCTAACTTCATATAGATCCCATTAGACAACTGGATTTACAACAAGTTTTGTTTAATAAGAAATGGGCAAAGCCAGCTTCTTTTCAGAATCAAAATGCAGAACAAATGGAAAAGAAATTATGGTGTTGTACCTTCACAAGTTTGAGCCTCCACAAATAATGCAACCAAGTTTTACAACTTTAAGAGCTTCTACATACACTCCACCTTCACTACTCTGCCCCGGGCTTCCTCTTTGCCCCCAACATCTCAGAGCTCTAAGTGTTACAAAAAAGTCCTAGTTATTGCCGGAAACTTTGATCTCCCGCGCCAACCCCTCCCTACCCAGCAGCTTCGTAGAGATGGTGGAGTGTAATTCAGAGCTTTACATTATCTCACGGTGTTGCGGAGGGCTAGTGAGGAGCCTCCGTGCCAATCTGGTTGCAAACATTTCTATTGTATTGTGACATGACTCACGACTGTTTCTTAGAAATTGGGGGATGGGGAAAAAGGAGAAAATTCTTTAATAAAAAGACACCAGGTACAAAGCAACGTTTTACTTTTGTTGTGGTAAAAAAAAAGTCACATTTTACAGATAAAATGTAGAACCCTGAAATACTGACACATTCTCTTATCGTGCACAATGCTGAGGTTCTCTTACGAATCACTTTAAAACTGCAATTAAAAATGTACAAAAAAAAGAAAAGAAAAAAATCAACCCACAAAGCTTCTAAAAAAGGAACCCGCAGGCACTTCCTCTTGTGGAATGTTTAAAAAGTTAGCCTACTAAAGAAAACAGTCGACTTCTTGTGAAGGTTTTGGAGAAATATGTATCAGTTCATTTATTTGGGTATTCAATAATATCCTTGGTGATAATGCTGACTCCATGGCTTCTGACCCCAGAATTGCTGCAATAAAGGGATAAATAGTTAATTTTAACCTGGAATCACATAAACGCTACATTTCTTAAAGAAAAACAAAAGGTGTTTAGCATCTACTTCTCCTGGAACTCAAGCAGATTAAAGTGCTCTCAAATAGCAGCAAGTTCATGAACAACTGAAGGCAGTTAAGAGTTCACTTCACTGTAGTGATGTGAAGCCAAATACTACATGCCATTAAGACCGATAAGCCACAGCTGATATTTGATATATCACGACCATCGAACCAGACCAAGTTTTGCAGAGAAACCTATTTATAGCAATATTACCTAGCCTTAGAAGATTTTGCATCTAATTATTTCAGACAGCGCTTTGAAACATTCAAGTTAACGATCAGTGGAAAGAGAAAGTTAAAACTACTTACACCCTGCTGCCACTGGTTGTAGCCCTGAGATTGGTTTTTGTAGCCACGATTATTTCCCCTTCCTCTGAAGTTCTGTAAGAGGACAACAGTTTTTAACTACTTCATCTACAACTCGTATTTTGTAAGGGTACAAATACCAGTTGTTCTATTACCACCAGAACATTATGTACCATATAGAATCAATCTTTAAAATATGAAGTCTCAGGCCTAGGTTTAAATAAGGCAAAGTAAAAAGTCCCTGAAAAACACTACCTCACCCACCAAGCAGCTGCTCCTTAAACATCGGGCAAGAACCTCAGAATTAATAAGCCAGCTCAAACTCACTGCCAGTAGTCTGGAGAGCTATAGCTAATCCAGTTCTGACTCACCCTATTTCCAGTTGCTAAACTGCACCAGGACAACTAAAAATACAACAGCTTGCCTATTTTTAGTTAGGAAATGCTGTAGTTGCTACAAGGATGTGTTATCTGAGCAGACAAAAGGATACAGCTCACACAACTGAAAAGTTACCCCACAAAACTTCAAATGCAAGTCACGGAACAAGAAGGGGACACTGATACTAGTAGATGTAATACTGCATTTCCCCCGTTCGTCACAATTACACAAACCTGAGCCCTGTTTACTACCTTGGGCTCCATCTGCTGGCTCTGCAGCAACCCAAATTATGTTTTCAAATAATTCCACTGATACCACATCAGTTAAGACCTCAGTTAGCATGTCTTACTAGTTGTGGTTGATAATAGACATGAAAACCACTCTCCAGAGCTATTTCCAGGAAGTTCCCTAGGTGCTTGGTAAAGATACACCACGGCCTGAAGGCCATACAACAGTTACTATTGGACTGTGGGGCACAGAATCAAACGCAAGCCTTCACACATGCCCTAAAAGCCTTTATCTTTTAACAGGAGAGAGGTACAGTTTCAACATGGATCCCCCCATTTCAGCATCAGAGCTCCTTAAGCAACATTGAGAGCTCTGGGCACATAGAAATCCCCCCCAAGCATCACCTGGTTGTAGTTTCCCCTGTTGGGCATTCCACCTCTGTTATAGTTTCCTCTGTTTGAGTAGCCACCTCTGCTTGGAAAGACAGGGCCACGAGGATACGGGTAGCCAATTGCACCGCTGCTGCCACCGCCACCACCACCACCTCCACCACCTCGCTGAGGCATGTTGCCTCCCCTCCTATTGTATCCACCACGATTGCCAGGGACTGCAGGGAGAAAGTTGCTTCAATCAAGTGACTGTTAGGTCTGAAATATTTCTAACATTAAGCTTATGGTCAAAATAACAATGGTATAGAAATAAGACATCCAAATTCAGTGCAAAAATTTCAGTGCAAAGATTTAAGTCACAAATGGCAATTTAACCATGTACTAGCCCCCCATACAGCCTGGGATGCAAACACCAAACCTAACATACAAACTCAAAGCTGGGCTTCAAGCTACACGAACAGCATAATCCATGATCCTGCCAACCTTCACTTTTGAAGCTGGAGAATTAACTTCGCGCTAAGACACTGAACTTACTGAAGTCAAAACCAAGGTTCCCACCATGTAACAACTGTAACGGAAGTACTCCACCACCCCCCAGGAGCGGCCTGTTTGCTTTTTACAGGCTTGTTTCTAAGCTCACCTCCTCCTCTGAAGTTGCCCCGCATGTTGAATCCTCCACGTCCTCTCTGACCCCTATTAAACTGATTTTTATTGCTTTTCTTGTTCTTCTTTGAGCCAGTGTTCTGTTTCTTTTCTGGTGGAAGAGACTTCTTACTCTCTTCTTTATATTGTTCCAAAAGCTTCTGAGCTTCTTCTTTTTGCAACTCTACATAGATTATTTCATCAAAACATTCTGCTACCTCTGGCAGTGTGAAGTTCCCTATAATTGCAAAAACACTGAGTATTCAGCATCTACATTCAGGTACAGTCAAAGCTGTAATTTAATCACCTTTCTCCCATTCTTCCTCCCTCCCCCTGCATTCCTTCAGCATAGGGACATTACAGAATTTGAGCATTTAAGAAAGGTAACAGTGACAAAAGAAATAAACAGGTCTTCATGGAGTTGCCAGTACTGTGCCAAACCTTGAGAACATTCTGCCTATATCTTTTTTTTTCTTTTATAAGCCTCCACTCAGAGTACCAGTTTCTGCCAAATATGTCACTTATATAGGGCACTTTATGCCAAGACAGCTTTGTGCATCTGCATGAAGCATATCAGCATAACTGAGTAGTGTTAAGGACTGCAGCAGAGGGAACACAATATAGTGTTGTCCTACAAGTTACAATAGTCTTCCAGTTTTGATTAAGTACAACTGTTTAAGATAAAGTGATTTTTTTTAGACTTCACGTTTACTTAATCCTTTAAACAGATACTCAGCATCCTAAAACACAGTATAGGATTATGTTCCATGCCTTTCATTTTGAGAACTGCATGCTCTGGAAGATCTTTTCCCTCCACCTCTGCCTTCTTTTGTGTTCTTTGCTTGTAGTCTTCATCTTTTGGGCAAACAACAACTGCTTTGCGCTGGAAGCCTGCAAACAGGCACATTTTTCTCCTCTGCGCAGCTGCAGACACATTTGTCTGAAAAAAATGCAGTAACTTACTACACGTAGCTGTCATTGTAAGAGTTAAGGAAGTCAACTTATGGTGTATAGACTTCACCTCTACAAGAGCTTGCAATGAAGTTTACAAATAACTGGACATAAAGATGCTGCATAATGCAAAGTTACGAGCTCATATCCACGTGTTAAAACACTATTCCTCCCACATCCCATAATTCAGACAAGCATTTGTAAATAGCATCTCAACTTTGTGTCCCCTGAATGAGTAGTAAGTCAGTAAGTGAAACAACAGCTATTAACAATGTAACTTTAATCCCATTTAATTACTGCACTACAGCCTATAACAAAATTTCCTTAACCATTTTTCACGGAAGCTTCTACCTGATCCAAAATGAAATTCCGCTTCTTACGAGCTGCAATCTCAATGAACTTTCCAAGACACTGTGGAGCTCTCTGCAGCAGTGTGTTAAGTTTTCCAGTGTCTGCCATCTGCCGCTTAAAACCTGCCACCTGCAGAGAGATTTCCCAGAGTTAATTAATGTAGCCCTGAGACACGTGGATGACATTTTTCTTTGCTAAATGCTTTCTGCACGGATTCAATGACTGTTCAATTCAAAGCCACAACTACAAACTTGTAACCGGAATTCCCAAAGTCTGTAAAACACAGAGCTTTATAAATAACTCTGGGTCAATCAATACACCTAAATCCAAGGAATGCTCATAACATTACCAAATCATATCACTGTCCTCAGAACATTTAGCTTTAAAAAGAAACACTTGAACAGTCAGCAACAATTGACCTGCATAGCACCAGGAATGCTTCAGAATCCTGCTGTGCCACATATGAGCTCACAGCTCAGTGAGATAAAAGAACATCTTTAACAGTCACTAGCTAACCAATAGCTAGTTCCTAAAGCTTTTTGATACAAAAGAACCCCAAAGACCCTGGATTTACAGCAAGCTTTTAACATACCAACAACTAAAATGTGATCACTTACCATCATTTTGTCCATAATAGTGTTTGTCCCAAGAATGTTGTATTTCCCAGGATTTGCTGCTGCATGTTTGGTAACCCATGTAGTCTTGCCAGCTCCAGGCAAGCCAATCATCATCACCACCTATGATGACAAGTTCTATACTTGAGATACTAATTCAAAGGTTTCCTTTAATATGCAATGTAGACTAACAAGCCTAATGGAAACTGGGGGTGGTGGAACAGGGATACTGGAGGGGTGAGGAGAGTCAGGGGATACCAAGCACTAAAGCTCCCAGACAAAAAGGTCAGTATTGTGCTATCTCCACAACTCTGACACTATCAACAAGAAACCTACCTCACAGTCTTTCTTTTGCTCAGGTCCCTTTGGTCCTCGGACCCTATCCTCCAAGGGGACCTTCTGGATGAAGGTGTACTCTTCTGGTACAGGAAAGTAAGGTTCCTCTTTCTGGCCAAAGTTGAACTCAACTGCACAGTTATGGCAGAGAACATGTGGGAAGAGTGGCCGCCCATCGAGAACTTCCTTGCTTATTTTGAATGCAACACCAAGCTCTTGTCCATTCTTGGAATATGAGAGTTCCACTTCATCACCATCAAAATTCTGGTTTTCAGACAAAACATTAGTTTGGGTAAAATTACTCACCTTGCTCTATAAAGTCGTATTTCTCATTTCACTGTACTGGCTATTCTAACTCAATGTCTGTAACACTAATACATCATAAAGGAACTACTTAATTTGTTTCTGTTAGGATGAACTGCTATCAACAATAGTCTCGTTTAAAATCTGCTGTTATGTTCACCACCACCACCCCACATTCACATCTGTCTGTGAATATGCAATCGTAACACACTGACAGCAGTCACTGTTGGCAATACCTGCTATTTCTACCTCCTCCCTATGTTAAACTTGTCTTGCTCAAAATTTTTCTGTATTTGGTTTACTGCCTCTCACAAAGTAGTCTAGAAATTCAAGGATGTTTTTCATTAAAAGAAAATGTAAGGGAAAACTTACAGCAAAACACCCAATCACATCATTTTCATCAAACTTCTCACCAAAGTCTTCAGTCTCACAGTTACATGTCTTTATTCCTTTTAGAGAATACCCATAAGAAAATTCTTCTTCACCTGAAGAAATATAATTTAAACTTATTAAAAAAGGCATTTTCACCTAACCATTTAGAAATACAATAATTTTACAGCTACTTCAAAGTAAGCTGCTGTTCATAATGTTTTGATTAATGCCACAACAAGCTATGACCCCCAAACCAGCTTGTTCTTATATTCAAGAATATTCTCATTTGAGATAGAACAGCAGTGTTTCCCCATCCCAGTTTTAAAAGCCTGAATCCTGCTAGCTCCAGATTCATGTTGACACAAAGCGGAACTGCCAGATAAATTCATGAGCAAGTATTTTTAAACTGAAGACCTGATTATGCACCGGTATACCTGTACTGTAGTTAGTCAGAAAGGCTTTCTGACTTTAGTCTCCAGCAGCACTTACCCCTCCCATTTTAAAGGGAGTTTAGCAGACCTTCAGCCTATGCGACAGCTGAGGATGAAGCTGCAAGGAACAAGCTAACAGAAGTGTCAAACACAAGGACTCAGATGGAACTTAACAAGAAAGCTGCTGCTGCTGTCAGAACATACCAATTAACATACATTTCTTAAAAAGACATTTCTCAGCAGCAGATATTATCTATAAACATCATTTATGATCTGTTCCCACAGATCTGATCTTTCTTCCTAGCTACTTTCAGAAATAATGATTTTCCCATCCAGGTCAAAAGAACGATACTGTGGTTATCTGGGAATTTTAATTCACTGGTTCAATCTTATACTATGCCCCACCCTTAAAAGAAAAATAAATTAAGTGGGAAAGACCCCTCTTCCTATTTATGGCACTACATGGAAAAGACAAATCCTTAATATTGTCAGGTCTTTAGGAACATTTTCAACAACCCATATTTGACCACTGAAAGAATTAACTCTCAGATCTTCAATGCCTTTTCAGACCTGAATACTTAACGACTTTATCTGGTCCCAGTAATAAGCTTTCCCACACCATGTCCAGTGAATGATCCAAGTTAAGACCATTTTTCAGAACACACGGACTATAATCACTAAGCTTTCCCCATCTGTTGAAGAAAAAATGACTTAAAACTTCAACCACATAGGCAAGAAACAATAGAAAAAGAGTCAAATATTTAAGCCTTACCAAGCAACATTCCACTTGCATTCAGTGACCAGCCAACTCTCACTTCATGTATGTCAATGTCTTTTGTATACAGGTGTTTAACAGGAATCTTTTCTGTAACCTATTTTTAAATTATTCATTAAAAGGTATGTAATATTTATTAGACACTACTGAGATGGAAACACAAAGGTAACATCTGTAACCTTTACACTTTGGTTAAATCGTTGCTAAGTCCGAGTAATCACCTTCTGCAAAAATAAAACATGCTTCAGTGAAATATGTGAAACCACAAGCCAGTGACTAAGTAGTTACATCTCCTGACTGATCAATGAAGATGCAAGATACCATATACCTTCTAAGCATTTAGTCATTGCAGTCCATCTCACTGGCCAAAGGCCTTGATCCTTTTGATATAGTATTAAAATCACAAACAAGATAGTGGGTTTTGGTTGGTTTTTTTTTGTTTTGTTTTAAATAATCACCATGAAGTTGGGATTAACAATAAATTACTTTGCCAATAAAATGTGGTAATGGATTAAAAATATTGCTGCATATAAACTGGGGAAACTATTACACTCTTGCGTCCCTTGCCACAGTAAAGCGACTTCCTGGGCAATTTGACAGCTTCCAAACAACATAACCAGATTCAAAAAAACCCCATCTAAAAGCACTGGAATCTGTAGGCAACCAGCTGTTTTCCAACTGCCTTTACAAACTTCACCAAACTAAAGTAACTAATAGGCATCCTACCAGTTTCCAGAACTGTGTGAGCCAGGAGACACCAAAGTGAAACTGATTTGAAAATGAACAGGGCAGTAAATACCAGCATCAATTTAATTTCATTGTCCTGAGTTACAGGTAACAAGAGACACAGGAATCACTTGATGCAAGGACATGGAGAATGGGATCACTACCCACTCCTCCTGGTAGTAGTTAAATTTGAAAGTACTAAAGAGAACAGAGTAAGTATTTATATACACAGGCACATCAAATGCAAAGCAGCCTTTAACAGCATTTTTGAGGTTTTTTTTTACTTAACAAGCTTTGTGCCTCCTGTTACTTTTGTCAACAACTTGGAGAAATCTTTCTTCACGAGGCTGATTGCTCTTTTCCATTCCTACCCTTTAGGTGAACTCCTGCACTGAAAACACAAGGACCTGCCAAATACTCACATTCATTGTGTATACAAGTCAGAATTATTCAGGTTGAAAGGGACCTCTGGAGGTCACCTAGCCCCACATATCTGCTTAAAGCAGGTCAAACTCAGAGGCTGGTAGGAACAGAATAAAAGGACTGCTGGGATAATTTATATCCCTGAAGAAAAAACAAAAGAAAGAGCCAAGCCAAGCGTTCTGTAATCTTCAGAAAGCACAAGTGAACTTCTGACTAGTGAGTACCAAAACTCTGCAAGTGTTGATGCAGGAAATTCTTGCTTCAAAAGTGAGTTACACATTCTTGTGAGACATTTTTTTTTTTAAATGAAGTTCTTAGAAGTAGAGGTTTTCTAAACTGAGCCATCTTTTCTCAGGAACCATTTTATAGGCTCTTAAGAGAAGGCTTTCCAAAAATCCTGTTCACCTGAATTAGTTTCAGCGAAGTCCAAAAAACTTGAAAGAATAAACAAAATCATACCTAAGCATGCAAGAAGCAATCTCCCATAAAACACCAGTTTAACTTACCTTCATCTCAAAGCAGACTTTGCCTTTAGAAACTCCATAGGAGGCTCTCCCTCCAGCCCAAAGGAAAGCGAAGCTTTCCATGGTCAGAGAGGAAGCACTAAAACGGTCTCTTGAGATTTTAAAATGCAGGTCACAGTTATCTGTTAACATAAAGATCATTGTTTACTCTCATTACAGAATTAAGTACAGTTGTCCAAATTTATGCATTTAAGGTGATTTTCAAGACAAACTGCCAGCAACTGCTCAGCTTCTTTCAGGAAACCAACTGAACACATGCCTAGACTGAGCTGCAGGCTGAAGGTCAGCCAAAATCTTATGAAAAGCTAGCCAACAAGAATAATTTTCAAGCTGCCATCTTCACTTCTGTCACCAAATTTCCTCTATTTTTATCATCTGCTTGAAAACCTGGCTTTCACCTCATCTGTTTGAGCCTTTTTTGTCTGTTACCTATTTCCATCAATACAGAGCAAATGAACCTGCATCCTGCTCTGCATTTGCTAGATACCTTTTTTGTAAGTCTGCTTACCCCTCATGCCCAAAGCTAAGGGTGGCTGAGAGAGAAATAGGAACACAAGTATTTCCGTTTAAGTACTGAAGTAGTACTGTCTTGGTTTACATAGTCAATCAGCAAGTCCAATTAGATTAAGTCAAAGTCAGTTAAGTCAAGTGCAGGTAGGGTAAGCATGCAGGTAGGGTAAGCAAGAGAACATACTTCACCTAAGAAACACTATTTGCACTAGAAATTCACCTATTGCCCTAAGAACTTAAGTGGAAACTTTTACAGACATCTTCAGGCTGCACACTGAATTTTGAAATTTATCTTCTAGCTACCTTCAAAAAGGCAACGCAAAATGGTAACAAGGTGCAGGATATAGCATTTGAACTTCCCAGAGTAAGGAATCCATAAAAGAAACTTCAAACCTATTTGACAGTTACACGAAAGCAAGAATGAGCAAGCAGTGAGTTGTTCTACCCTGGTATAAAACCTGCATGCCACTCTAGCACCTTGAAATACAGCCTTCCCTGTATTACTGGTAACTCATGCATGAGAATCTTGTGTTTGCATACAGCTGTCCCCAGTTGCAACTACAGTAATAGCGATTCCAGTGTTCTTTCATTAGTAATTCTGACTTTATTTATTGCAGGAAAACCAGATAAAATCATACAGAATAAACCCACCTGTGTAGGTTGCTTTTAGGACAAGTGAGAACAGAACTTGAAGTTTAGCTTCCTTATAAGACACTGCCCTTAAGAGCACTAAACCTCTTATGTCTGGATCACTATGGTCCATAAAAGAGAGCACTAAATTGTTACATAATTCAGTCTTAAAGCTGTTTGATTCTGTTATCTGAGTAGCCTGTTGAAAGTTGAAACTAAAAAAAAAGTAGAAACTACTCAGTTACTGGGAAAATCAGAAGCTTTCACAGAGGTGACTACCCACCAGGTTAGCAGCTAGAAACTTGAGATTTAGTTACCAAAATGTCAAGGATGGTATATCTAGCAATTCATGTGGCTGAACTGAATACCTCCTTCCATTTCAGAACATTTCTCAGGAGAAAAAACCCACCTGAAGCCACTAACAAATATGTCAGTAAATGCCAAAATTTAAGATATCCTTCCACGGTGTTTGAAGAATCAAACAAGTTCAAGCATCACTTTTCTAATACTGCACCAAGTCCTTATACTTACCCTTGAGAACATGTCAACTTTGCCCCAGTCATGATGCATCCCAACAATAACATTTATAATCTGCCTCAAAAGCCACAGCTTTTAAGTGCTTGTCCACTTTGATGCCCTCCTGACCAATTCTCTGCCACTCAATTTGCACAGATCACACCCCCTCTCACCCCCAAATTCCCAGGTTGCACAAATGGGTCATTTTTCAGGAGGCCTTACCTGATTTTGTTAAATTTATCAGGAGACATGAACAGAGCCTCAGCAAGTTATGTAGGAAGCTCACTTCACAAACCATACTGTTGTAGTCACCTACACCACCGACTCTCAAAGCTTTCCAAAGTTAAAAGCTCATATACTATACAGTTAGTTTCCCAAGCTGTTTTTAGGGTGTTCTATGCTCACTCTGCATTTGGCCACCTTGGTTTCCATACTAGCGTTTTAGTTAACAGTTCTTTAAAAAAACGCATGGTATCACAGACTTAACAGGAACACAAATCTTATTCCTGCTAAAGACCCATATATCCCTCTATATTGAAAATGGGTGGAAACACCATTTCTTTTTTTTTTTTAGTTACTTGGTAATGGAAGTTAACAGATGTATTCACATTTCAAAAAGTGCTGTTTTCAAACTAAAAACACTGCATCTTTACAGCATAAAGGAAACTGTGTTTACTCACAAGTATCAAGACAAACCACTGTGTCATCAAAATGTTCATCTTCTTCTTCAACAGGTGGTTGAGGTGACTTAGCCCTGAACAAAAAACCAATCAAAATATATTTAAGCTACACCCATTTTCACACTATTAAAACAAGCATTTCTGTTCTTCTCTTCAGTCACAAAATGCTGCCCAGCATCATGTTTATTTACCTGCTGTACTTATTTTCCTCAATGTACTCAAAATATCCACGGCCATGGTCTTCACGTGGTCTCTTCACGCCTCTCTTTTTCTCACCAGGTTTTTGTTCTGCTTTAGCATCACCTGCAACAAAATTAACAATTTAATTACACAGAGTCATTCTTCATAATCTAAAGTAAAATGCTACATGACAGTTCCAACTTTGGAAACTGAAGAAACTATAGCACAAAAAAAAACCAATGCTACCCTAAAGAGGATTCTGCTTTGTACCAAGATAAAAACCCGCATCTCGAATTTTCTCAGAGGACCCAAAAAACTTGTCTGCTAAATCATCTCAAGCGGCCAGCACATCATGCGCCGCCGGTGCAGTGCTCGATGTTAAGATCCACACACACCGCTCCCAAGCAGCCAAGTTCAAACAATAAAACAAAAATCAGACAAAAAAAAAATCCCTCCCGCGACGCCAGGCCGGCACCTCCCAGCCCCCCCTCCCCTTCCCCAGGAGCAGGACATTCCGGGCCGCCCGCAAGGACACGGAGCGGCCCGCACGACTGCGCCTCCTCTCGGCAGGCCCGACGCGGGGCCGCTCGG